ATATAATATATACCTTTAAGACACCTCTTAAAATACTTCCACCTGCAACACCACCTTTTAAATCTTTAACTTCACACCCAGGTTTATTCACATCAAATGAACGAATTACTTTAAATCAAAAAAAGTTATTTAGTTTTATTTCATTTCTAAATATTGTTTAATAAATTATAATTTCACTACCTATTAATCTTGGTTCTGATGTAAAATCTCTTATTGGAACAGGAATCTTTTTAACAATATATTCACATATAACCTCAATATTATACTTTAATTGAGCAGATATTGGTATTACTGGTGCTCCTTCAGCAACAGTTCCTATAAAATTGTAATTTTATTAAATATATCAATATTATGTAATTACCTATCTTACAGTAGAGCATCGATTATCTGAATCAATTGAGGACTGGGGTTGTTCGGAAAATTGATTTTTCAGATAATCAATTATGTACGAAAAAATATATTAACCTATCCCATGTAAAAATTCATTCAAATCCTGGCATGTCCTTAAGTACCTCTCATGATTCTGCCAGTCTGCCAGCTAAAACACGCACATCAACCAAAATAATATTGGAGTGGCCCAAGACATAGCCAAAGATTGCAGCACCATGGCACTAGCAGAAATTTAAATTTGCTGACTGGAAAGCTTTCGGTTAATTGATGTTTCGATTGATCAATATTCGGATAATCGATGCTCTACTGTATTTCTAATTGGTTAATATAATTCCTTATACACAATACAAAACTAAAATAATTTGTTTTTGTAAATATATAAATAATTCAATTTCATAATGTCAAACCAATCTATATAAATAAAAATGTAAATGTTCATTTGTTCAAAATCTTAAATCTCTGATTGCTTAGAAATTTTGACACAATGTTGCATTCAAATATGCGCGTGTTTTTATATTATATAGATGCTGAAATTCCCCCATGGAGAAAGTGACAAAATTAAGGCTTACTGTGAAGAACTGATCTTCTATTATACTATTTTAGATGTGTTTTTTTTTGCGTTTTAACAGGGTATGTCAAGAGAATGTACACTAAGAAGGAATTTTTCTAATTTTTCCTGAGGGAAGTGTTATACATTTATAATAGAACATTTTGAGCCACAGGAATGCATGGCCAGGTACAGCTAGTAAATAAATAGATAAACGCATTCCAATCAACGTTCATGGTATAAATATGAAAAATAAAATACATTTCAAAAATACACTGTCAAAAGTTACAAAATTACAAAAGTAAATAGCATATTTCTTGCAACTGTATTTTTTCTAATCATGAAGATAAAAATTCCTAAATCCTTAATTACAAAATAATTGAATTCTTGATATAAAAATTACAGAAAATATACTTTTAAAATTTGTGCTGTCATAAAAAGTAATCAAAATAAATTTTGTTTAAAATTTCTAGAGCCTCTTTTGAGTACTGTGCATCATCCCATCATTTGAGAAACAAACTATATTACGCTATATTTCCTAGTCTTTGCCAATAAAGTATTTTTTTAAATATTTTGCCTCAAATAATGTAGAACCTTGGTTAAACAGATATCAGTTAACTGGACTCAACTGTGGTTAGTTTGAAATAAATTTATATTTATGATAAAATATCATATTAAAAATATTGTTTCTGAATAATGATCTTAATCTGAAAAACATTATTTTAATATACAAATTATTTTTTAATTAAGATTAAAGATTGAGATGTTATAATTTATATAAAAAAATATAAATAAAATTGTTCATGCCATTTACATAATTGCAGTTTTTGGAAATCCTATTTAGATTAATGTTGTTTAGTCATATTCCTGAGTTTTAGTTTTAGTCATTATATGTGTAGTTTTAGTTTTGGTAAACTAAAACTACACATATAATGACTATGCTACTTAACACTAATCTTTCTATCTCTTACTTAATAAATAAAAGTTTTCCTACTCGACTATGTTCCTGTTTATAAATCATTGCTTCAGAATTCTCATTCCTTTTCTCAATATACTAACTGCAATATTAGATTTAATATTATCTCAGTTAAAAATAGCTTTCTTACTTTTTCATAAGTAATAATTTGTATTTTAATTATATTTCAAATCAGAAAATGTCATTTTATAATGATTTAATGTATCATATAATAAACATTCAAACTTTACACTAATTACATATTTTAAATCTGTTAAATTATATTAAGTAATTGACTATTTGTTATGTCAATTACAAAAACTAATGATTTACAATATCAATTTTATTGAATTTCAGTAATACTTGATTAATTAATCCAATTCTTCTCTCGACCATCAAGTTTACATCCTATCCACACTAAAAACTTTAAGTAGGATTAACAGTTAAGTGTATTTAAAAATGTTTTTAACCATAACTCAAATAAAAGGTTCATCACTGTAAGTAAAAACTGTTTTTTTGGATTGTCACTGGCGATTAAAACAACAGATTCTTGGAGACAAATTTTTGTATTCTTCAATATACTTTTAATGAATTAAAATCATTTTCCCTTATAACAAAATGGTGTTATCAGAGAAATTCTAAAACTGAATTATTTTTAATTATGTAAATAGCATCATTTTATTTACAATTCATTTCTATATAATTTTATTAATTACATATGCTATAATATATCTGTTTTATACAGCATTATACAATCTATATATATAAAATTGCTTGTCCTGACTGACTGAATGACTCACTGATTCATCATCGCCCAGAGCAAACCGCTGGACCTAAAGAGCAGAAATTTGGTACACAGTTAAGGTTTGTCATAAAAACGCACACTAAGAAGGGATTTTTCGAAATTCCCAAGTGGGGGGGAGAGGGAGAGCATTAAAGCTTAACCGGAAGAACAGCTTCTACTGTACTATTTTAGATGCGATTTTTTGTTTTTATCTGCGTTTTAGTAGGGTAAGCCATGAAAACATACACTAAGAAGGGATTTTTCGAAATACCCCCTCAGGGGGAGAGAGAAAGGATTAAGAATTAACGGGAAGAACGGCTTCTACTGTACTATTTTAGATGCGATTTTTTGTTTTTATCTGCGTTTTAGTAGGGTAAGTCATGGCAATGCACACTAAGAAGGGATTTTTCTAAATTCCCCCACGGGGGAGTGGGAGAGCATTAAGGCTTAACCGGAAGAACAGCTTCTACTGTACTATTTTAGATGCAATTTTTTGTTTTCAACTACATTTAGTCTTCATTGAGTACTTAGATGTATTAAATTGATAACATTTCAGACATTGTTATAAATATTTTTATCTATTTCGATTTTAAAAATGCTCGGACCGTTTTAAATTCGAATTTGTTATTGCATATTGGTTCGATTATAGAACGATTGTAAACGCTCCAGAAAATTGATCAAATTGAAAATAGTTTGTTTGATTCTCGGCAATTCTCTTCAGTGGTAGGTGTTATATAGACCTAACAATTACTATGGTTATTGAAATATTGAATGTAAATGGGGTTTGCCTGCAAAACTTCCGCGGACGAAGTCGCGGGTAACAGCTAGTTACTAATAAAAATAGTTTAATTACAACTTTGTCATTCTATATTTATCATACAGAAAAGTTTCTACTACATACATTGCAATAAATTTATTATTTCATAATATATACAAAACAGACAGAATTGAAATGTTCTTAATTATATTAATTTTCAATGTTTTTTAATGGCTTTGACACCAAAACTTATTTGCATTCTATTCAACTACTCAAACAGAGAAAATTATATAAATTATTATACATCAACCAACGCCGAATATTATCGAGCTAGAAACCGCTACAATACTAATAATTTAATAGACAATTTGGCATTGGAGTTAGGCGTTAGGCACTATCTCTTGATAAATTTAATAATTATAATTTAATTAAATTTAAATAATAATTTTAGAATTATGGGAAGAAAAGAATCAGCCCAAAGCAGGACTTGAACCCACAACTCCTGCTTACCATGCAGATGTGTTGCCAATTACACTAACCAGACCTTTGGTCCGATCTCCTCTTCCAGCATATATAAGCTAACAATATAACCATCGATGGTTAAAAGAATCAGCCCAAAGTGGGTTCTATTAAATTATTAGTATTATAGCCGTTTCTAGCCTGATAATATTCAGCTTTGGTTGATGTATAGCTTTAAACATATCGGGTGTAGTAAGGATGTTTGATTATTTATATAAATTACAATAATTAGTTTAATTTATTTTTAATTGTTAAATTCAAAACAAAATAGTGGTTAATCTTTAATCAAAATTGTGTAATATCTTTATAATTAATTAGCCATATTGTAGCAAAATTAAAATTCAGTGGTTTCATAAAGCATAATATAAAAATCTTATAAATTAAAAATTTTTGCTCATTTGTTATATAAATTCTTCAAAAATGTTTTTAGAATATTTTTAAATTAATAAAATGTTTAAAAAAGTATACTTTTTTAACCTAAATTTTGAAAATCCAGTTAAAATTTGATATAAATATATACATAAAAATGATGTTAACAAAATTTAAGAAATACACCCAAATATAATTAATTGTAACTTTTCACATAAAAATTGTAAATATGCTATATATAAAATATGGAAACTTCTATATTGTATTTTCTATTTCTGTATATTTTCAAACAGAAAAACTGTTATTTATATGGATAACTTGTGATAATTTACCAATTCTAGATAGAGGACAAACTGAAATATTCTGTTATATTACTTTTTAATATATTTTTTTAGTTTCTACACCACTTTATTTAAATATAATATCATAATTAAAAAATAACCATTTTTATTGTTGTTGATTAAATATTTAAAAACATACCTTGAACAAATTTTAATATTTGTTGATATTGTTCTTTTGCTTGTGATTCCTTTACAAGATCAATTTTATTTTGTAAAATTAAAATATGTTTCAATTTCATAATTTCTATTGCTGCTAAATGCTCTGAGGTTTGAGGTTGTGGACAAGATTCATTTCCAGCTAAAATATTTAAAATTAATTAGTTAATAATGTCTAAAAAGTAAACTCAAATATAAAATTTTAGAAAACAAAACTGATTAGTCTCATTACATATACTGTATAAAACTTAGATTTTTAAGTTAATGATAATTTTAAGATTATAGAATAAAACTAGAATAGTGCAATTTAAAAAGAAACTTTACTGAAGGCATATAAATGATTGAAAAACAAAAAGTTAAATACAGAAGCATCTTAGGGTACATCCTAAGTGGCAGCGTCCAGCAACTGCAGGCGTGAACACACTTCCAAGCAGAGCAAACAAAGTGGTTCAAGCAAATGTGTGTGTCCAGAGCAACTGCATTCAGTGACCACCAGATGACATATCTACACATGCATGCAGGAAGCAGCTACCAAGCAAGTTTGATCGGCACTTCCACTGCTTATGCTTCCAAAGAAGAAAATGACTTTGTAGATGAATTAAAACAGAATGACAAATAAATTGTGTATATATGTTGTATGTACTTTAATTAATAATCTTTTATGTAATTTAATAATTTCTAATTTTGTAAATGTAACGTTTTAAAAATAAAACTTTTTTTACTTATTATCCTATGAAGATTCTTTATATTTATTGTGTATCTAGTTAGTGATAACAATTACTTGCCAAATTTACTGTTTTAATGCTTGTCATATTTTCTGTAGCAAGCATTCGATGAAGTAGTCTTGCCACTATTTTATAAACAACATGCATCCACTCTGGGCAGAAATTGCTTGCAAGTTGGACGTGCATACAAAGATTCTTTCCGCTCGTGGTTTCTGGATGCTGCCACGTAGGACAGTAGCGTAGTGTAGTGGGGGCGGGCGTCACTTTTTAGGGGGCGGCAAAATTATGTTTTAGGGGGTGGTAAAATTTCACAATAAATAATAATAATATCTTGTAAGAATTTGAACCATTTTATTTCATATTTTCATTCACCTACGACTCAAACCGATTGAAATGAGCACGGAATAGTGTCACCATCCATCCAGATAGTCCAGGAATCAACGCGCCGTCCGGGGATATTGTGTGCAACCTGTTGACCTTATTTTTTTTTTTTGTTTTTGCTTGTATGATTTATTCGTGTATATATATATATATATAAAAGTTGAGTTTGAAAGATAAGAACAACTAAGGGTACATCCTACGTCAGTGGCATAGCGTGGGTGTCAGCTGCCCGGGGCAGAGGAAAATTTTGCCCCCTTCCCATTCCATTTAGGTATCTCAATTTAAAAGACCAAAATTCAGTTTCGTCACAGAATAAGTAACGAAAAATTCCGTGTTGCCACCTTATTAAAATCTTTGACCCGGATGGCAGGTGAGGTTTGTTCGAATAGAAGTTCCTGACGCATGCGAACGCAAGTAACCTATCTGTATTGGATATTGGAGGTGTGTATATATATATATATACACACACAAATAAATCGAATATATATATACACACCTCCAATATCCAATACAGATAGGTTACTTGCGTTCGCATGCGTCAGGAACTTCTATTCGAACAAACCTCACCTGCCATCCGGGTCAAAGATTTTAATAAGGTGGCAACACGGAATTTTTCGTTACTTATTCTGTGACGAAACTGAATTTTGGTCTTTTAAATTGAGATACCTAAATGGGAAGGGGGCAAAATTTTCCTCTGCCCCGGGCAGCTGACACCCATGCTATGCCACTGACGTAGGATGTACCCTTAGTTGTTCTTATCTTTCAAACTCAACTTTATACATGCTAACAAAAATATGTTAAACTGAACATAGTTGCAACAGAGACAAGTGACCAAAATGAATCAATTGATAGATATAAATGTAATAATATAATGTACAAGATATTATGCAAAATGTTAAATAATTACACATAAGAAAGTAATAAATAACTTATTAACAAAAGAAATACAAATAATTAGATAGTCATAAATGGGAACAAATTGTTTTAATTTGTGACAATCTAACTTATATTTGTTAAATTTCCAAATCCTTTTCATATAAAAAAAATTTAATTACTTAAAACTCCTACAATAACAAACAGCAAAATAAAATGAAATCTCTAAAAATAAATTCAAAAAAATTTGACATTTAAATGCTTTGACAGTCAAACTGTTAAGGCAATTAAAATGTCAGCCTAGCACTCTGGGGAGCTGGGATAAAATCCAAATAATCAAAAAACCCAAAAAAATTTTTCAAAAGTGGTGTGTCCCAGATATGTCAAACCCCATTCTTCACAACCCAGCTTATCCTAACACAGGTTTGGCCAAATCCATGATGGATATGATTATAAGGTTCCCTATTACGGGACAGAAATATTTTTCCTATTTTCTACTCATTATGCCCACAGGACAAGAAGAATAAAAAAAAACTAAAATAACTTTGTATTTATAGTTTTTCTGAGTTTTATTATTTATATTCTTCCATTAAAGCATTGCTTTTGACTTCATTTTATTAGTGGAATACTTCTTTACTTTTCTTGAGTAATACATTTTTTTTTTCCACAGTCATATAAAGATGTCAATATCAATAAAAAGTATGATTCTTTTTTAATGAAATGATCATAATTGGTATGAAGACTTGTATGTTAGATAATTTGAAACATTTCTCAAAAAAATTTTTTTAAATAATCAAAATTACAATTTAAAAAATGATTAATATGATAATGATGATAAAAAATTTGATCTATTTTAGAAAACCAAATATAAAGAAATCTTAATGTTTAATTATTATTATTATTTTTTTATAATTTAAATAGTTATACTCAGTTGATACTAGGGTTTCTCATTTCCCGGTCTTTTGCTTGTCCCGGGATCCCGGGATAAAAGTGAACTGTTTCCCGGGATAGAATTAATTATTTTTAAGGTATACAAAATATCTTAAAATCAAATGATATAATTATTTTCCATTTTTTAAAGTAATTTTAAAGTTCTGTAACCTCCAAAATCATATTAATAATGCTGTGTAAGGTCTATAGGCCTATAATAAAAATTACCTTTAAATAACGTAGAAATTTTCACAAATAGAAAAAAATTAATTAAAGTTTGCTGGAAACTGCATACAACAACAACAAAAAAAAAGTTTTGAATTGAGTTAAAAATTAAAAAAAATGAACTTCTAATTTAGAAGGTAATTTTCGTTTTTTAAATAAAATATAATACAAAATATTGCAAACTTTTATAAGATTTTAAAAAGCAAAGATGGTCAATACTCCGATAACTCACTCTAATTCTTATTTTAGTAATGAAAAGTCTTGCCACCGAGAATGCCCTTTCCGATTCAATTGATGTGATTGGAATAGTGTTTAATGCATTTAAGAGAAGACAGATATTATGTGTTTTTTCACCTGTAGCCTGGAAGCTTTCGAGTTCGTTTTCGAGATTGTAGTACTTCTTTCGCTCTCTAGTATTCTTGATTTGTCTACCTTGGCTGCTTTAATAGCGGCATCAAGCTTAGAGCTCGATAATTCGGCAATTCATTTGGCTTTAATAATCAGGTTTATGAAGAAAAACTTCATACTTGCAGACTTTGTACTCGTTTGTATCCTTGCCCAATTTGCACAATCTGGCGTCAGGCATTTATTGAAGCTACTGGGCATGGTTAAAACTCAAGACAGCGTAAGCACAATTATTCCAGATATTACAGGTTCCGACAAGTAAAGAATTTTTATAGTCATGCCACAAATAAGCTATATATTGATTATTGACCATTTGTGACATGCTATAACGAGCAAAAATTTAAAAAAACTAATAGGTAGGTTTAAAATTAATAAATACAAATGTATTCTGGCAGTGAATGAGTTAATTATGCTTTCTATTTGCAAAATTCCTCAACCTTAATACAAAATAAGAAAAAAAGTGAATTTTTAAGAAATTTGCGGGATTTCCCAGGATAAGAAAAATTTCCCGGAAAAAACAACCGGGATCCCGTTTGAGAAACCCTAGTTGATACCAATGGCTGTGTACTACAACTGGACCAGAGTCAAAGCATAGTAACCAAAACAAGACACATTAAATAAGTGTGTCAGTGTGTGTGTCTGTATTCAGGAATTTCCTAACAATATGACATGTTTATTGGGTTACACTCGGTTGACACCGGTACTATACCGGACCAGAGTCAAGGCATAGCAACCAAAACAAAACTAAAATTAAATAAGTATAGCAGTGTCTGTATTCAGGAATTTCCTAACAATGTGGCATGTATTCAATATAGAATACATAATACCTTCTGTAGTGTGATGTATGTATTTCTATTCAATTGTAATGTTCCCAGGCTTTTGTGTAGTGTGTGTGGTATCACACCTGTTGTGATGTTCATGTTTTGTGTGTGTGTTTTGATTTTCTTGAAAATGTTTTTGAGTTGTTTCTTTAATTTGGGTGTTATGTTGTTTTTAGTGTATTGTGTCAGCCTGCCTAATTGCTGTCTAATGTCATTTATTTGTGTTTCTATTCTTCTCTTCCAGGCAGGCTTGTGAAAGAATTGTGTTTTGTATGTGTTTGTCTGTGATTGTATTTTCAGTCCATGATGTGTTACTACTGTGACTGCCCCAGCATAAACTAATGTATGAATGTCTGAGTGTAGAAATTGAATGGATGTAGTTTGGTAGTGAGTGTTTACATAATTTAGTGTTTTTCCTACTACCTTTGACGTGTTGATTTTCAGTATTCGTGGTCTTTGTGTGGGATCTGTGCATGTATATTTAGTGAGTGTTTCCTGAAATATAAGTGAGAGCGTATTAACTAATTCTATGTCAATGTTATCAGTGATGGATGAGGAAGTGTCTGTAGTATCATTAATGGTAGTTGTTGTATGTGTGCTATTATCAATGCTTGTTGCTAGATTATCCTGACAGGTTACGTGATCTTCATTAATAATGTTAAATGTTTCTGTCTGTTGATGTATTTCATCAACAACCTGTTGTTTGATAAGTTCAAGTGTTGGTTGTGTGATAAGGTTGTTGTGTATAATTGTTCTTTTTTGATCAACAACCCTTTGTTTGGTGACAG